GCATATACTTTATACATGTTATTATAGATTTCCATGGCTATTTGTTTCAAAATCGGAACAAGGATGGCCGATTGACAGCCGTCTGACTTTTTGGCATTGCTACTATATTTCCAAGATTTATGTACCATTTTATTTGTATTTGGCACATTATACATCATACATGTCACTTTGTTTTATAATCAAATCAAAGATAGCCGAATAACGGCTGTTTTTATTTTTGGCCATATTACTATATCTCTGTCACCTATGTATCATTTTCATTGATATTTAGCATGTCATAAATGGATACATGTACATGTCAATTCAATTTGCAATTTTATCAAATATGGCCGACTGGTGGCCATCTTGTTTGTTTAAAATGTGATAACTTGGACATGCTTTCACTTGTGATCTATGTTTTTCTTTGCTATGTCTTAAACAGGAGGGGTCGTCAGGCAACACGTGTTTGAATTTGATGAAACAATCTGTTGTATACCCACTTGGGACTCAAGTTTCAAGGACACGCTCGCGACAACCCCTCCACTTTAATATGACGAGCGAGCACAAAGAGAACAAATTTAACGTGGACTGTGTCATTTTCAATGACTTGTTTTTTTACATTTTGTGTTTTAACTGCAGAAAAATTGCTGTGAGTAGTGAGGTTAATGTAGTAAAGGGCGTGTTCCTTTGTAACCACCTTCAATGCGACAACAACACTGAGGTCATTCCTAAATTATACATCAAAATCACAGTTGCTGTGAACAGTTGGATGATTTTTAACTGATATATATGTAAATGATTTTTATATACTTTTTTAAAAGAAAAACTACTTCGGCATGGTGTGGTGAATGGTGTTGCACTAATTAGCAGACAGTGTCGGTGTATTTATTCTCATGGATACTTACAAGATTTAGAAGAGGTATGTGTAAATATGCTCATGACATCACTTTCATATAGAGCGTGTTCATAACATACATATGATCATAACAAATATGTGTTTTTGCCATATTATGATGATGGCATAAATGATACACATTATTTATTGCACTGCACCTTCACCAATAATCACTGAATGAAAAGTCAATGTTGCCACCACAGAGTATGTAAGTTGCTAAAAAGAGTGATGAATATAGATCATGGCACCATTCATTTAATTAATTTAAACAATGAACATCGATGCATTTTGTGTTTAGTGATATTTGAGAGGCTGCCTGTAGTGCAAAAAAAAAATATAAATA